CTCTGTTCCACCTAATGATGTCGTGTAGTGGTAGTTTTCAAGTTAGCAGCTACCTTTTACCTTTAGGGCCTGTTTACAGGAGAACATTTGTGGGTAAAACACCAAAATATTTTATCGTAAAAATATTTTAGCCGGTGATGGCGTTTTTGGGGCTTAAAAATGCAAAAAGCCGTAGCATTTCTATCTACACTGCCCAAGACGCAAAACTCTGCTCACATCGCGTACACATTTACGTCACATACATACAGTACACAGAAACAAACATGTTGGATGGCATGCATTCCCAATCGAATACCACACACTTTTGCATCACCGTATGCATGCAGATTTCCTCCCGAAAATGCTCATCTAAACGTGGAATAAGAAGTGAAGACACGACACCACTTTTGCGTCTTCTGTTCAGACCATCATCATATAAACGTAACTTAAGTTTCAGTAGGGATTGGCAATTCCAGGACTGAAATCATCCAAATGATTCTACTGAAGGTGTATGAACACAGTGGAGCACTTCCTGTATGAGTGTTTTCTGTCTGAGAGAAGAACTCATCCTAAATATGCTGGATTTGCGTGTTAAACGTGTGAATGAAACAAAACACAACTCCAGGTAAGTTTGCGATGAGGAAAAAACATTATAACAGATCAGAAAACAGTGTAATATAAGCCCTTTAAGTAGTAGACATTATAAGTACAATGAATACTACGAGATTTTACTACTACTACTACAACTACAGCAAGTATATTTTGCAAGCCTGTGTATTGTAGTTGTTTTACATCTGTGATTAGATTGCACAAAAATACAAATTATATATATTTTGACTTTTATAATTAGTCGGTAACTCAATACACACACACACATAAATGCCCTTAAATATTTTAGCAATAAAGTTAGTAATATTAAGAGTATAGTCCAATTAATACTACATGCTTTTATATCTACTGCTATATAGAAATACAGCTAGTACTGGGGCAGAACAATTTGGGAAAAATATCAACTTTTCTAATTGAATTTTAAAAAAAGTCTGAAATATGAACTGACGAACTTATACAAGAATTAGATTTTAGAACATAAAGTTTGTGCAGATCTAAACAACAGGCTTGGCAGTTTTTATGCAGAATATTTGTTGTTTGCGTAGGAAATGATGGTACTTTAGAAATTGCATCCTTAACATTTGCCAATTTAACTACTTCTATTTTACTACTACTACCCCTACGACTATTTTACTACTACTACTACTGCTACTACTATTACATATATATTCGGCAACTATGGTTAAACTTATGTATTGTAGTTGTGTTTGTATAAGTGTAGGGTTATGATAAAAATGTAATAGTGATCTGATTCCTGGGACAAAGTGCTCTTTCAGTGATATCGGATTCATCATATTGTAATAAAAAAACTCAGTCTTCTGTTTAATGCAGATCATTGTTCAAACTTATTTTTTCCCACCCTCTCCCCTCCCATTGGTCAGTCTCAGTCACACTGAATTGAATCAAACCAATCACAGGACTGTATGAACTTTTTACATTTTGCTATAGAAATAAAGTTAGTAAATATGAATTGTGATCAAATTAAATGTGTCCAGACTTGATAGAAATGTAAATAAATGTTGGAGTTTTTTATAATCCATTTCTAATTAAAGGGTCCATATTAGTATTTTCTGATTGATAACACTGTTTTCTCTTCAAAAACATACACAGAGTTGTCTTTTGTTTCATTCACACATCTTTAACTCACAAATCTTGTTCTTCTCTCACAGAAAACACTCTCTTCCACCTTGTGATGTCATGTTGTAATACAGAAAGTGTTTCACTGTGTTTTTAAACTCCATACACCTTCACTAGTGTCATTTGGATCATACCTGCCCTGGAATTGCCAATTTCTACTGAACAAAACTAAAAGGTAGGTGCTAACTTGAAAACTATCACTACATGACATGCTTTGTAGACAGACTAGGATTACTCACACATCTGTGAATGAAAAAAAACACAACAATGGGCAGGAGGTAACAGCATTATAACATGACTTAAAGCTCACAAGAATCCATTTTGTGTAACATAGAATCTTTAAGTGCCACACATACTTTCTTATATTATTCTATCCTGCACCGTGAGGTTATACTGAGCAGGTATCTGTCATTTTGTCTTATTTGTATTATCATTTGTGTAGCCTGTGTTTTGGTGATGCGCATTATGCATAGTGTTTGATTATTCCTTCTTATGACGTGTAATTCTGTTAACAAACTGTAAAGCGTCCATGATATAAAAAGCAGCTCGCAAATTCTTACCTTCCTTCAGCGTAATTACCACCATTTGTCTAAGAATGAAATTAACTTCATGATAGGCAGTGAAAGTACCGATCCATCACGTACAATGAATTCTGAGATCTCACCGTGACAGTCAATTAAAAAAGAAAGATAATCCGCACCTTGCTTTTAGTGCAACGCTCCTGTTTAATTTCACATATGCGCGATAAATACAAGCTATAATTCTACATCAGTTTGCTGTTTATCTACCTCTCTCATTTTGATCTGTGAGATGTGATTCTGCGTCTCCATTCAGGCAGGACGGCGCGCTACTTGTGACTGCTGTATGACCACATTTGAGTGTACCCTTGGGAGCTATTTCTCTGTATACATCTATAAAGGGAATTTGCGGAGACCAGAGTGAACATGCTACGGCGGTCATTTGGGGTGCATGGATATTTTCCTCTAAACTGCGCTTTAAATGCTACGTTTCTCCCCATTACTCCGCACCCAAGAACATTTAAATGCCCTTTAATTAGCGTGTCCTTCGTCTGTATCGATAGGCCACTGGTAATCACTCAGAGGACTAATGGCTCCTAATTGAATTGCTTTAAAGTGGAACACAATGCATCCAGTCATCACCAGCACAACAGCTTTTTGGGAGGGGGGCCAAATCGCTGGTGCTTCGTTTTACCGTTTCGCTAATCGAAGATACATATTTTCACAGCAGTGCTAAAGGAAGGCCCGGTGGTGTCAGATGATCTCGACGGAGCCCGGCGAGAGATGGGGGCGGTTGGCGGATCATCCAAATCTCAGTAGCTATTGATTTGATCTTTTCATATTGTCAAGGAGAAACCTAATCATAATAGAGCAACATAGCATGATATCTCCCTCAAAGGCCTGTTAACGGCCATTGCGTCTCATTATGCGCTGAGTTGCAGGCACACCTCCGCACCTATAAGGACGTCCTGTCATGTTATCAGAACGATCACGCACTCGTCCTCGCAAACATGGGGGCCGCGTTCTGAGAGGGACTACGAGTGGGCAGAGGAGACGAGAAGAATCCATGTATCTCTCTCCGCCGGGTCACCGATGCAATTATCCTAAATGTATTCATGGGTAGTTATAAAGATAGTTAAACTGACATTTCTTTAACGCCGAAGTAAGAGCTGCACCTTAACTTTGAAAAAGCTTTGTTGTAACGACACGAGGAGTTGTAATAAAAGGATGAAGGAATGAGTAGTTTAATATAGCCAGTACATGGGGAGATTTTATATAGAACTTAATGATCCTATTTCCCGTAGAGTGTCATTGGCATCACTGAAACTTTCTGTCCTAATTATGCACATCAGCCTGTCTGTTTCATATCTCCGCAGTCCCTCGTTATCCCTGAAGCCACCTCACAGTTTGCTCAGTGCTACATTAGTAAAATAGAGCCTTTGATTTGTCCTCAAGAGCATACACTTTGAGAAGAGGAGTCTGGAGCTTGTACGACGCAGTGGAGAGAAGTGTGAGGAGTATGGAGTATTAGCTTGGACGTGGCCTCGGGTGTTTCATATATTGACCGTGTGGCCCTTCAGATTTTAGGGAGAAACTCCACTTGAAGGCCACAAAAGGGATTTGATGCATCACAGACATAATAGGGGATATTTTGGTTTGCTTTTGGTATGAGAAGCGCTCTCTCCCCCTCTGGTTGTGGGAGAGGGAACTTGCCTGAGGGCATTTGTAAAAACAAAATACTTGACTTGACTGTGGAAACAATAAGTGCCCACACCCCCCACAGTTGTAATGATGCAGTGAAAACCAATTGCACAAAACCATGTGAGCCAGTTCCTCTCTCTGTCCGTACATGTAGTTCTGTGTAGCAGTAACCAGTGTTTCTGAAATCAGAGATCTGTCCGTGGGCTGCATTTGCATCAGGCTGTCTGCCTCTGGCTCACTGGGTGACATTATGTCGGTCTTATTAAAGCACTAGCCGTACCTCAGCTCTATAATTCAGCACAAAAATGACAGCAATAAGAAGCTGATCATGCCGGGTCAGTCTGTTTGAAAGCAGCTCCTGCCTCAGTCCGCCTTAATTAAAGCCACCCAGCGCTCCTTCATCTTTACATATTCTGCGCCGGGGACATTGATACTCATTATTTCTTAAGTCTAAACACCAAGACTGTGTCAAGAATGCATCCATCACCGGCTGGCGGCACGTAGTCAGCAGAAATATTTCCACTCTGTCAGCAAATTTGGCAATTTGCAATTTTCTCGCCGGGCTCCTGACATGTTTTTATGGAGGAAGATCAGTTTCAAATGCACAGATCATTAGGATGTGGCTTGTTAGTCGTATGTGCTCACCCTCCCTCTAATCACAGTAATTAACAGGGCCACATTAGAGAGCCACCTCCAGAAGCTGCACCCTTCATTTGCATGGTGGTGGTGGTGCTGCGGTGGATACAGCAGAGCAGCCCTGCTTCTCGGCCTATTCTCCCATTCATTATGTGCTAAAGCTTGAGTTATCCTCTCCTTGGTGCGGGGATGAATGTTATTAAAGGCATAGCTGTCTGACACAACTCTAATGAAAAATAGGATGTTTCTGAAGGTTATGTTACCAGCTAGCTCACAAATGCCTGCTTCATTTTTCCCTGCAGTCGCACAGGGCAGTGTAATTCCCACCTCTTGATAGATCTTTTCTCTTAAGTTTTTGTGGCTGTGGGCTGGAGACTCATCATAAACAGACCTTTATTATCTGTGTTTTTTCCTCTGCAGATGCTCCACAAAGGGCGACACTGGACTTTCTGCCACATGATACAATTGTGAAAAACTACATCCATGTGTTGAAGAGGGTCACTGCTACAGGGCTCTAATTTAGATCCACTGCCATTTTTATGCAAGGTATGAGACATCAGGGGTGCTTTTTTTTTTTTTTTTTTTTTTTTGCAAACATATGAATAAGTAATTAAATAATGAATTACTCTATAACACTATTTTGAAGTTACACTGGGCTGTCTCTATCCACTGTGATGACAAAACCAGTTTATTTATAGTTTTGAATGTACTTAAAATTTTGAGTTAGTTTGAAGTAGAAATTCTTAGACTTAGACAAACTTTATTGATCCACAAAAGAAATGATTTGCTCATACATCACAATAAATATAATTACAAAAGGACAAATAAGTGACAAATAAGGTATAAGTATTGTGTTCATGAAAAATGAAAAACATGTATAGTAAATGTATTTCAGCTATATAAGAGGTCGTATTTTTATATTTTTGTAACATTATTTATACACTATTATAACTAATCTAATGTAGTCCTGTGTTGTTATGTAAAAAGAGTCAAAAAATAGGGAAATTAATTTGTTAAGCATTGAGAATCACTTCCTTGTTCAAATAGGGCATGAGTAAACAAAAAAAAATGGAGAAGTATAGTAGCTGATATAAGACCAAAGCAAATTGCAGATGTTAAGAATTTAGTTTATTGATATTTTCAAATTAAACTGAAAATTTGTATGTATTTGTTTTCCATATTTTCCAATTTAACTAAATGAAACAGACTTGTTAGTGATTTTTCCTTGTTTGACAGAGAAGGATTGGTGTTAGGGTCAGGATTGCACTTTTCAGAGCTCAGTCCGAGGTGGTAGGTCATGCTGGTAGTGACCCGCCCCACCCACACAGCCGCTGCTCTCCCCTCCCCCTGCCCCCTCCTGCCCCCCTCCTGCCCCCGTCCTGCCCCGCTCTGGCCTGCCTGTCCCTAACAGCCCCATCAGAGTCGCAGGGATCACACGGGACGCCGCTGACAGCTCCAATTTGCCCCGTGTCTAAAGAAATAATACATTTAAAATAAAATAGAAAAAAGACTTGTTCTCACCAAAATCGCTTCGCCAGCTATAGATTCACATCTGCCTCTCTTGGTGTAAAGTAACTGAGTGCTGAAGGTGACATGAAGTTAAATTAAACCTAACAACATGCATCATCCTCTGGCACTATTGATTTCATATTAAAAATCAATATCAGGGATTTATTGTTCTATTATGTTCTAGAAGCAACACAAATGAGCGAGGCTGCCTTATTTAAAAAGAGAAAACACACCTTCATTTATTGGTATGCGGATAGTAATGTCTGTGTGGAATAAGATAAACCCCAAAATATTATTAAAAAGCAGATTTCTGTTTGTATAAAATAAAATAATTAAATAAAAGTTCACTGTAAATTAATACAATATTTCATATCAATTAAAACAAAGATAGAACTTCAAACAGAAAATTCACTGGCAAAAATATACTTTATGAATGATTTTTTTTACATGTAAAAGGTATGGCATGGCAAATACAACTAGATTTCTGTACGATCTTTGAAGGTAACAAATGTACCATACTAATGAATGTTTAAACATATTATAATAGTGTTATTTTACTTTTTCAGTGAGATTATTAGGCCTATAAATTATAAAATGTTTAAAAAAATGGGGTATTAGATATCATGAGCAATCATAAAAAATAATAATGTCATGTCTTTAGAAACATGAAATATAAAATATTTAAATTCTTGAAAGTATTTTTTATTTTTTGACAGTAATCTAAATTCACTGCAAAAATTATATACAGATACAGTGTATGTTTATTCGCTTCATCATCTAAATGAATCTAAAACAGTGATGTTCTTATATTAGCCAGGTGTTTGTTTCAATTTTGACAGTTTCTCCCTGCCATTCAAAAGTCAGATATTCAGGATGCTCTTGTGCAGATCTCCCTCCTCTTCCTCTCCCTGCGCTGTCTTCTGTCTAATCAAAGCAGAGCCCATAAACACAGATGTTTCAGGGTCAGCCAGCCGCACCTCGGACAATTGGTCACCACCTCTCACTGGGTGTAAATCAGCAAACCCTGGGTGTGTGGGCGTTCCCTCTGCCCAAATTAAAACAGCATTACTTACAAGCTAATTGCAGTACCAAGATGCATAATCTTTGGAAAGTTAGAGGTCATGGCCCATTTTAAACCAACATTTGTAGCATAATTTAACGCGGAGAATGTAATTTTGCACGTCTCTCACCTGTGGAGTGATTCAAAACATGCAACTGTTGTGGGTGATGTGGGTGCGGAGCCGGTTTGTTAGGGGATGTTTTCTGATGCGGCGTCTCTGCGTGTCAGATTATGCCACACATCCATTTGACTTTCATAAGCTGTTTACGCTCCAGAAATTGTGGCAATGGCTTCTCTCCTGTGCAAAAGGCTTTTACATATGTTGTGTGTCTCTTGAAAACTGTCCCAGTTATAGCTATCATTCTGTGGAAAAAAAGCAACAACACAAGCTCGAGGAGGTTACATGAGGCTTGTCATTTTGTAGTTTTTGTTAGTGATTTGCATCTTGTCTGGGATAAAGTGTATGCAGATAAAAGCATGGAGAATACAAGCCGCTTTTCTCAATATTGTGTATTCATTCGCCGTCCGCTTTCTCTATTTTAGATGTTACGTTGAAATTTCTAGGTTCATATCTGTTAAATTGTTTGTTTTTTATCCAAGAAAGAATTAAAGTACTGGAGATCCATATGTGATGAAATGTGGCTATAGAAAACCATCAGAGGTGAGATAAAATTAGTGTATGAAATAAAATATAAATAAATAAATACAGTTACAAATAAACACTGCAACATCTCCCAGATATAATTTTGTCATTAAGCTGCATTAGCAACATAAAGTCATTTGTTCAACTGTGATTTTATTCGTACTTCAAAATTGGAGATTTGCATTGTGATTTGGCAATTGACAAAATTCCTGTATTTGATATCAATATTTGTCTAAAGTTTTTCTGCAACTTTTTACACAGCATTAGACTTAAGCATGGCGCTGTGTTGTACTGACGGTTTAGACAGGAATATTCAGGGACTTTTCATACATGACTGGTGCATAGGCTATAATACACCCACACACAAAAATCAGAAAACATATGCGTAGCCTTTACACATGTGTTTTGGGTTTTGCTCAAAGCCTGCTCTAATGTGTTTAATTTGTACAGCATTGCTTACACATGGGCTCTTATTAGTGGGTGCAGGTCTGGTCTCAGGATCTGTGGCACTATCCTTTAGGGATGGCCTCTCTTTGGGAGCAGGGGAGTGCATGTGAAAAAAAAAAAAAAAAAAAGCAGCATGACTCCTGTTCAAAGCGCAGACGACTCCTGACTGGATTAACATTTATTGACCGTTGGAGCTTTTCTCTCCTTTCCCCTGCCGTCTTTTTATTTCTCTTTCTTTTTTAGCTCCAGGACAAAGATTCAAACTTAATTGCAATGGCTGTTCCACCAACTGATCACCAATGTGCCAACAAAAGCTTCCCTAATAGGCGCTTCATTAAGGATAAGAAAGTCTCTATTACAAAACAAATTAAGCATGCTCTGATCTTAACCTATAGGTCGAACGGCATTACAGCAAAGTTTAAGCTGTTAGACGCCTGAAAAACTTATTACGGGTTAGCGCTGAGGTAGCAGTTTGGTATTGATTTTACGATAGCTAGGTATGATGATTTATGGAGTGCTTGTGTCAGTATAACAAGCTGAAGGACACACAATATCATCTCCAACATCATTAAAATTCAGAGGTCTCCAGAGCTGGCTCATCAAGTACTGTTCGCCACCTTGGAAGATCACACAGGCACAAAGCTACACAGAGAGAAAGACCAGGTAGTACATGCATCCGCTCAACCTTTTAAACAGCCCTATCTCCCACCCAGACATAGTACACTACACTACAATACAATACAAAGACACACTAGTTTAAGTTAAGTTGCGTTGTGCAGTTGTTGTTTTTTTCACTCTTAAATGTTTATATTGTGATTTGTGCATTAGCTTGGTTAATGCTTATATCAGTTGTACAGGCGGCAGTTCAAAAGGTCTAGGCTCAACACAATCAGCTCCACTGGCTCTGAACAGCAGTTATGGAGAGCATCAGTCACGCGGCCAGTATGTGTGGTACACTAGAGCCCCCACTAGGCACAAAGCGGTAATGCGTCCTGCCCGCCTCGCCATCATGTCTGGATAAGAACTTGTCTCAGTGTTCATGATAAACGAGACAGCGCTTTCTTATTTGTTGTTTTATTTAATACACTGAATATTATTCTCAGCATTTGTCTGATCTGATTAGGCCTTAAATGAAAATAAATCTAGTGCCAGTATAATGTAGTTCAAATTCCAACTTGCATATTGTGAATAAATCAGCCTCATGTTTGTTTTGATAGCTTTTTTCAATACTTTTGCAACAGAAGTCTTTTTTGTCTGTCCAAACCTAAATTCAGACCTTTATCTTAAGCTCTGATTTTGAGCTAATACTGTCTTACAAACTTTGTATTTAGGCCTATATAAAAATTGTAAAAAAAAAAAAGTAATAATAATAATAATACAAAATAGATAAAATAAAATATACTGTAATAATAATAATAATAATAAAAAAAAAAAAATAATAATAATAATAATAATAATAGTAACTAGTAGTAGTAGTAGTAGTAGTAGTAGTAGTGTCATTATTATTATTATTATTATTATTATTATTATAAGCTGAAACTAGTCAATATATCTGTCTGATCTGTTTTTGCACAAACATACTATACTTGTACAAAATATTTTATGTTGTCCTGATTTGTTAAAGTTTCATATTGTATCCATAATTATATAATGCCATATTTTTTCAATCCTAAATTGAAGTTTTTATATTTGTTGACTTGTAGTGATGTGTATAAAAGCTAACTATATAACAATATTTACTGTACTGTGTTAGTGAAGTAGATTTTCTATATGTGTTACAAATTATTTTATATTATTTAGGCATTTCTGGATATGAAAAATAGGTACAATTTGTGCTAATGAACTAAATTATAATTCTAGAAACTGTTTACTTTTCAGATTTCAGATCCTACCTCCACCCCAACAAGGAGACGTGATACTACCATGGGAGGTGCTGTTGTCCAGGTCGGCCTGTGAGATGCAGGTGAAGCTCCAGATTCCTGCAGACCTTCCTCACACCCCCCCTGCTGGATGCCAGATTCTCTCCATCATCTCCTCCAACCGTGAGGTCTAAGCGCCGGGGCAGGGCGTGTGGGCGACTGTGCTGGGTGCTGGCAGCGTGCTCCGTCTGCTTGTGAGTAATGTGAGTACAGACATGAACAAACCCCATCCCTCCCTACCCTCCTCCGCTGTCCTGTACCCCTCTTATCTCCCCTTAAAATCTACAGGCTCCTGCTGTGACTTGGCGCACCCCACTGGACAGCTGCAGAGTTAGAGGAGAGGAGACGGTGCCAAGCTCGGAGCAGGGGAGCCGTAAAGGTGTAGGGCCCATACCTGCTAGCTGATCACCGGACCATCATGTGTAATTATCCCCACTTATAGCAGCCAGGTAACGCACATACACAGCTTCAGCCTCGCCATACTTGAGAAAAGCTGGACTCTAATGCTGACTTGAGAAACAGTCCATCTCATTACGTGGCTCTGATGGGGAAGTGGGCTCTCTTCTTATTATTCTGATTGATACACTATTACGTCTGCAGTAATAGCCATAATAGGCCTCTGCATTGTTGAGCCACAGCTAATTATATTCTCTAACAACAATTTGCTCAGTCAGTGAGAGCTTGTTATTAGCAAACCCAAATGAGGAATACAGTATAATGAGAATAGTATACACATATATTTACCTCCGGCTAGGAGCTTGTGTTCTGGCCAGCGTTGGATTGTTAGGTGGTTTGGTCTTGTAGAAGACTAATAAGGAGTGGTCCATTTTTGTGGTTATTATCAAGACATGGTTGGTAATGGTCCAGAGAAGAAAGATTCTGTTCTAGTCCCATGATCTACTATTGTGAGATGTCACAATGGGCCAACGGTACTGTAAAATGAGTTTGACTTGAGTAGACGAACTTTTGTCTGAAGAACATTTAGTGTTTAAGTACTAGTTATGTAACGATATGCAAATCTCACAGTACGATATTGTCATGATATTCATTTCAAGATATGGTATTTATTGCGATATTTTAGGGAGAACGAATTGATGACTTTTCCTTTTAATAAGCCTTGTTAATCCTAATTTTCCAAAGAATTAAGATAGAAAAGTTTGCTTCATACTATCTGCACTGAAAAGAAACAAAAGATCATAGTCTGTGTAGCTCCGTTTTTAGCTGTTACTACACCATAATAATGATTTTTTTTTTTTTTTTTACTTAAAATTCAATATATTGTGACAACCCTTGATATTATTGTCCTCTGGTGGTACAATATCAGGATATTTCGGTTATTGTTACATCTTTCGGAATTACTACATATACCTCTTGGTATTATCAATTATACCATTAGTTTTTGGGAAAAAAAATTCTAAAGGCGTTGTATTAATTAAATGATTCAGTGTAGAGTCTTGGATCACAGAAGATGGCAAAATGTAAATACAGAGGTGAAAAGGCGGGGGTGAAAATTGTGATGATAGCATTGACCTTCTTTATCAATTGCCTTGCTTGCTATTATGTAGATGTTATTAAAGCGAGACTGTTAGTCATGGGTCCCCTATAGCTCCTAAAGTAGAATAAATCTATCCTTAAAGAAAATGTACCACTTTAAGGTTATAAATAATAAGACAAGCCCCTCCCGTGTCCCATTTTCCCCGCCCTGATTGTGGAAGTATGTGCCTAATCTTGATTCATCAGTTACTGGAGCTTATTATGGAGCGGTGACAGCGCGCTCGGGTCGGTGATAGATGGCACCGCTCAGACCACATTCAAAACGTGAGGCTCAAGTGCCAATTATCTATGCAGACCTGGTTAATAAGGGATGTGCTGTTAACTATCTGATCCCAGCGTGAGCGTCATTTGTCATGAACGCCCCTGTTTACCTCGGAGACCTCCCCTGCCTAACATATGTAAAACCTGGATCTTTGTTCCTGTAATAACCTTTTATTAACGGCCTGACATCATGATTAAGTTTGGCCCAAACACGTTCACAATGAGGTACACAATTACCCTGGGTGCTCGCACCAGCGCAGCAGATCACAGTCACTCCGAATAATGAATATTGAGCTGCAGTTTGATCCATTCCACATCCAAAGCCCAATTTGCCGGAGCACCTGGAGCTGTGCCACTGCATGCAGTTTTTTGAGGTGATGATGGATACTCATGGGAGCTTATTTCCATGCACACATCTTCTCCTGATTTGTAAAGATGATAAGTGCTTTGACCTTAAGTCATCATTACTGCTCATTAAAGCTTTTGTTTGCTCCACCTTGGCAGCAGCCGCTTTAAATCAGCTGCTTCAGAGGCATTAGCGCTCTCATTGCAGAGAGTTGTCTGCGTGTCTGTGGTTTAGTTTTCATTTAGTAACTTCTCCGAGGTCTCAAGGTCTCCGATTAATAAACACTTGCTGTGGTCAGAGGAGCAGCAGAGCAGAGGGAGGTGAGGTGCCCCCTGTCCTCTGTGAAAAGCATCTCTGCATCCCGCATCTTGATGTCTGGCTCGCAGCCTTGCTTACTCTTTTCCTGGGAAAGTAGCAAATAAAACTATTTGCAGGTCTGCATAGCCAAGAGACTTTGTCTTCCATCAAGAAACACCTCTGAGCTCGTAAGGGCAGGAGCTGTAAAAGACTTCCAGACAGCACTTGGAACATTTGCTTTAACCTTAGTTGTCCAGCTACAAAAGGAGAAATGATTTTCTGAAATAAATAATTAATGGTGTGTTTTTGTAGTATTGCTCAGATATGGAGTCAGTAGGAAGCCAGGTGGAGCGATCAGATCTTCACAGCATCCCCACTTCCTGTCCCCCACAGATCGCTAGACTGTCTAGGCAGCATCTGCTGAGGAAAATAAAGCCCCTTTCCCTTCTCATGTAGAGAAGATCATTTGCATAATATCCCCCTCTGTAAGGTGAAAACAGAATAATAATTGGTTTGCCCTTTTCTCTCTGTGTGTTGTAAAACAGTTAGGAATTAATTTGAGGATAACTGTGCAATTAATTCTAAATGCTAAAGATGGTGTGGGGGCTCATATTCAAAAGAGGGGAAAGGATACACAGCCTGAGGTCATGAGACAAAGACTTGTAGTGCGGCACAAACTTAACTCTACTACACTTACAGAGGCTGGACGTGACAAACAGGGCAGACCTGTGAGCTCTTTAGCTGCACACTCTCTGTAGTCCCAGCCCACTGTACACAGCGCTCTGTTGTTTGGATACTCTTGTCTTAATGATGAATAATAGTGCTGCAGCAGAAAAAGGTTGCATGAACACTTGGATTCATGAGTCTATTTTAACCTCGTTACAGAGCGCTGTAAATTTAACATGCATTCCCATTATGCCTAATGAGCGACACTCTAATCAGTGCTTAGCCGGGTGTTCTGCTCTTGTTTTTGTGTGTTTGGAAAGATGAACTATACTTCAGACACATGCCACTAACAGCCCCTCTGTGGAGCCCTGTGGTTTGATCTGACTGCAAAGTTATTATAATCAGGACAACACATATGACTGTATTCATATTATAGGCTAATTATGGTGGACTGTATGAACAAGCATTACCTAATCGTGTTTATGACAAAATTTGTATGTAGATATTATTCATACTGTGAGAATCCTGTGAATTTAATAGCATTTTTGTACTACGTTTCCAGAAGAATTGCAAGATTCAGATCACATTTTGAAATTTCACAAATAGCAAAGTACAAAGGCTGGAAGTAACATCAATCAACAGCATTATTATGTATGGTAAGACTTAACCCTGTAGTTTTGACCTCTACAAACATGTTCTGTGTTTGATCAGTATATTTTTCTTTTTCTACACTTATTCAGTATTCTTTCAAATATCAATGCACTTGGATGTGTTTAAAATGTGCATGAAAAGATCCTGATTGCGAGAGCTAAGTATTGTACTATGAGTAATACAGTACCAAGTTAAGATATCATCACATGTAGTAACTGCTGACCGTCATGTCTGAAGCTCTGGGCACATGCATATCTGTTGCATCACCATGTAGGCCAGTGCTGTATGTTAGCATATCCAGCGTTGTAAAAGTGGCCAGCCCATGTCTCCCCTCCTGTAGCCTGTCCTATTAGGAGTACAGTGGCTTCATTCGCCCGTACTTCCACAGTGGAACAAGGAACACGCCTCACCATGAGTCCCAATTACACCTAATGATGGCCAAAGGATGGAGCACATGCAGATTGTGGCACAGTTCCTTTGTCACGCCAGGCACACGGCGCGATCATTTATCACACCAGTCATATCCTGCTCTCCTCCCCAAGCTCAGACAATGAGTCCCAGCACATCATCCATGCTGTTATTTGTGTTTAACTGCCAGGAAAGGCCCGTTACAAGGCATTGCAAACTCATGAGCTGTATCCTGCATGGAAGCAAACCTGAGAATAACACAGGAAATGCTGCTGAGGCTCAGAATAAAAATGTCCTCCTAACCTGGCAACCCAAAACAAGGAGCTTGAATAATCAACTTGAGAATGGTTGTCCCAACCATCCCAATGGTTGGGATGTCTTATTTGTTTATACTGATAATTGTGGCTATACAGGTCATAACAAAATTGGGAAAAAATCATAATTGTGAGAGTAGTTAGAAGCAAAAATAAGTCAAGTTAGTTCAATCTATTCTTTAAACATTGAAGCGTCATATTTTTTGATCTATTTTATAATGTTTCCTCATCAAAAACATACCCACAGTTGTGTTTTGTTTCATTCACACATTTAACACAAATCCTGTATATTTAGGCTGAGTTCTTCTCTCAAACAGAAAACACTCTCTTCCACATTGTGATGTCATGTGGTAATACGCAACATGCTCCACTATGTTTTTAAACTCCATACTTCTTCACTAGAATCATTTGGATGAGTTTAGCCCTGGAATTGCCAAAAGGTAAAAGGATCTGTTAACATGAAAACTACCACTGTTTCCTTGCTACCAACCATTGCTGTTATGCTTATGTTATACTACCAAGCTATAAATGATTCTTTGTCAGTACTTGTAAACAATCCATATAGTTTAATGCAAAATGACTGAAA